GAACTCATTCGAGGTTGCAAGGGACATTAATTATAAAGCACCAGAGGGTCCTGCAGGGAGTTGGGTCTTCATCAGTGACTTCTTCCCAGGTTCCCTTCTCTTCCTGTGGCTGGGTCCTTACTGTCCACCGTAGCTTCACCATCACTTCCTCACGGAGGTTTCCCCAACAGTCACCCCGGGCCACACCCATCCCAGCCAGCCGCCTCCTTACCTAGGCACCATGTCTGTCTCCTTCGTACCTCCTGGAACCCGGGATGCTCATTTCTGTGTGCTTCTTGTCCACGTAGGCCACGGCTCCACAAGGCAGGGGCTCCGCTAATGTTCACGGCTGTGCTCTGGGTCCGCAGGTCCTGGCCCAGGTGGCCCCTCGGCCAAGGCTGCTGCGGGAGCCCAGCCAGCCAGGCAGCGGTCTTGTCCCTTTGTTCTGATGTTCTGTCTGTCTGTCCACGCTCGGCTCTCCTCAAGCTCTCTTGCAGATTGACTTGTTCATGTAATTCATCCTCAGAGGGAAAATACTGTGCCCCGCAGCCCCTGAGTTAGGTGCTTCATATCCAGATGATTCAAATTCCTGGCTTGGCTCAGGCACTTGCCCACGAGGCCCAGTCACCTGGTCTGGGTGGGGCAGGGGAGCGGGGCCGCAGTGCAGGCTAGTGGCCTGTGTGAGTGTGTTGATTGTGGGGAGGGGGAGGACGTGGTCGGGGTCTCCTGCAACTCACTGTCACACTTATGGCCAGCATGCTCTCCCTTCCGAGCACCAGGACGGCCAGCGGGAGTGTCAGGTCTCTGTCCCCAAGGTGCTCAGCCCCAGGACGGTGCCAGGTGGGTTAACCAAAGGCGAATCGAGGAGCCAGTGGGCAGTTCGGCACTTTGGATAGAATAGTTTTGGGTATAACTAGCAACAGAAGCAAAACGCATTGCCAGTAAGCCAAATGCTGAACAAGATAAATCAGTCAAGTATGTAGTATGTTACAATTGAGATGTGAAAATGAAAATATGAGCATGAAATAATTCAATTTCATTATAAAAATTACATGTTGGGGAATGCCAAAAACGAACTTGTATAGGGTAATGGGGACTGTCATCATAAAAGGGAAAGTTCTGGAAAGATTCAGTGAGCCGGCGACATTCAAACAAGGACTTGGGGCCGATGAGCCAGCAAGTATGGGGGAACGGCAGCACAGCAGCCTGGAGGTGGGGTGGGCATCCCGTTCACACAGAGTGGGTGGGCGGGAGACAAGGTAGTGCCCGAGCGCAGAGACCTAGCGGGGCGCCTGGCCCTGGAGGGCCTGCCAGCCGCTGTGGGTGGTTCGGGTTGTTCTGCGTGGGGGTGAGGCTGGAGTGGTTGCTGAGGGCAGGATAAGGAAGGTCTTTTATAAACAAACCCTGTTACTGTAACTACTTACACTTCAACATAATTTTACAAACATTTTCCCCGGTCTGTTTTGATTCTTTCTGGTTAAGGTGTATTATCTTAGGCTGGACCTGGATTGTCTCAGACGGTCAGAGAAGTCAAGGTGATGGATTGCAGGTGCTCCCCAGCTCCCCGGCGGCCAGGTTGAGGGTCCCCTGCCAGGTCCCCTGCAGGCACCATCAGCCTCGTCTGCAGGGGGCGTGCCGCCCAGTGTCAGTCCATCCTTGTAGCAGGTGTGGTTACCTCCCCATTTTTCTGCTGGGCCCCCGAGCCGCAGAGAAGACAGCCAGGATCAGAATGCAGAGCCAGGAAGAGAATGCATTCCCCCTGCTGCTGGCCCTTCTTGGTGGCCCTTTCTAAGGGGCCACCACCCCTCGCAATGACCTTGAAGTGTGAATGGTGTGGATGTGCCCATTGCTGTTGTGAACTTTGTCCTCTTTGGAGAAATCATGCCGTACCCTTAACTGAAAGTCCTGACGTGGCTGTGAATGGGGGCGTCGGGGTCCAAATGGAGGCTCTGCCACCAGCCACTTCACAGCCTGGCACGTTGGTCAGATTCGGGGCCCTTGAGCCTCACCCATGTGCGGGGTGACTGCACCCAGGTTCCGGGGTGCATGGTGAGAGCAGGATGGCCAGTCGCTTCAGAGGTCCAGCCAGCCAGGGTGCTGAGTGAGGTTTTTAAAAACATCAGCGTCTTCTTGTCTTTGTCATCGTTCTCTTCGTGTCCTGGGTGCTGCGTCATCACATCCAGATGGGGCCCTTCGATGTTCGAGGGCCAGCCTCTGAGGCTACCCTCCCTCCAGGAGGTACGGGCTCTCCGTGCCCTCTGCCTGCAGTCCTCAGGGGCATCTTGATAGAAAGCAATCTGATCGACTCAAAGCCTCGCTCTGTTATGATCAGCCATGAGTCTGCAGTGCGTTATTTTAATTAGGCAGCAGAAGGTGACGTCAGGTGCTGCCCTCGCCTGCTCGCTGGGGCCGCCAGTGCTGCTGAAAACCTGTGACACCGCCACCTGGGGCCTCAGGAAGGACAGCTCGAGGAGCTGCCTCCCTTCTCGTGTCTGCAACCTGGGAGGGTGCCCATGACAGGCTGCCTCCTGATCTCAGACGAGGGGTCCATTCATGCGTTTCAGGGCATCTTTTAGCTCTCACGCCTTCACTCTGCGACCCGAGCATCCTGGTAATGAGTGGAGACATTTATCAACTCGGAGAAGCTTCCACCAGCTTTCTCCCCGCGGGACCGGGAACCCAGACCCCACGGGCTGAGGCGTCCTGACACGGTAATGATGTGTTTGTGAGCGCGGATCAGGGAGAAGCTCGGGTGGCCGAGGTTGCACTGAGGATGTGCAGAGAGGTGTGACAAAGGATGACGCTGTGTTTAAGAAGTGACTCGACGGCCTCACACGGGAAAAGGTTTTCCCCACGCTGTGGACTTGCAGAATCAGTACCATCTAGGATTGAGGTTCACTCGGCTGGAGCGATAGGTTAATATGTTTGTACTGTTGTGTGTTTCTGCTGTTTCGGTCGAAAGTGCTATTTATATAAGCTGCTCAAATTTCCTGTCTCCTTCATTTAATAAAATGAAGAATATGGTCTATAGGCGCTGCGCACTCAGGTGCGGGGGTGCCAAGATGAGGGAGGCGGTCCCCGCCAGCCCAGGCCTGTGAGCAGGTGGGCAGGGCAGAGGTGTGTGTGTGGGGGGGGGGGGGGGCGTGCGCCGCAGCAGCCGGGCTGGCCCTTCTCCAGGTGCTGGGGATGTTCACCCTGAGCTTTGAGTTAAAGTGAAGAACGCTCGGTGCCGAGAGGCCTTGCATCCCGGGGTGGAACATGTCCGCAAAGCGGGGGTCTGAGACTGCAAAGGCACAGCAGGAGGTCGGCGGGGAGAGCGGGCTCTGGTTCTGGGGGGCCTTCTGGGCCGTGCCCTGGCCCTTCACCTGTTCTGCAGTTGGAGTTGTCTGTGGTCATTCGGGACGGGCTGTGGGAGAATATGTATCAGGGGATCTGGATAGAGGACGGGGCACAGGGATGTGTGTGTGAATGTGTGTATGTATGTTAGATGGATGGTTGGTTGATGAATGGATTGATGGATGGATGGGGGCGTTACTTGAAGGCAAAGAAATTCAGAGGCTTTTGCCATTGTCCAGGACACACACACACACACACACACAATGGTAGAGGGATTATAAACAGAAAAGTAGAAATACTTAGGAGAGGAGATAGAAAAGGGGTGAGTGAAAATTAGGGCCATGGAAATGTTGAGGAAGGCCACAGGTCTCCGGCCACAGTGATCGGGTGAGGGGTCACGGGAAGGCTGGAGGTGGAACCCAGTTGGTGGGTGCATGTGGGACAGCTAGGCAGGAGGTGCAGCGGGCACCTGGGTATCCACGTCTCAGGAGGGCAGGGGTCAGAGTGGAAGGATGCGATGCGGCACCGGAGGCTCACGGTCGCCCCCGGGCAGCAACGTGCAGGCGAGAAGAGCAGACGTGTGGGACGTCAGCCTGGAAAGGGGGGGATGGACCGGCAGGGGCAGCGTGAGTGGTGGTGGGGGGGGGGGGGTCCAAGCAGGCCGCATGCCGGAGGGCCTGGTGAGAGCAGGGCGGAAACCTGCCCCTGCTGGGCATCGGGGTCCGTCTGCTTCTTGGTGAGAAGGGGCCTCACGGTGAGCTGGTGCCGTCAGCCTCCTCTGAGTCTAGCGTGCACAGAGGGAGGAGAGGCTGCAGAGGGGAGCAACTCGTCCCCACAGCTTGTCTGAGAGGGAAGCTGTGAGGCCCAGAGGCGCCAGGGTTTCTGTGGTCCACGTGCCGTGGCTGTGGCCGTGGTCCCCAGAGCAGGCTGGCACCACGAGAAAGGCTGCTTGGTGAACAGCTCACTGCTCGGGGAGCAGGTCATGTTGATGCAGGGCTGCATCTGCTTGTGTCATTGCAGGCCGGGCTTCACTTATGCCAGGCAGGCGGTCAACAGTGTCGTGCGCCGTCTGTGTCTCCTTCACGTGTGCCTGTTCACCCCATTGTGGTGCTTACCTATTGCTGGAACGTTAATGCTTTGCATTTCTCCATGGTGTTCTTTCTAGCCTTTACACCCCTCCCTGAGTGGGGACTTCTGAACACAGACCTCGCTCCTGGCCGGGGCTTCTGCAGGCTCTGCACGCTCTCAGGCTAGCACCCAGGCTCCTAGTGAGCTCGGGCGCATGGCCTCCCCAGGGCCAGCCCTTGGCGCCCTCCAGGCCTTATACTGTAGGTTCCAGAAGGGAGACCCAGCTGTTCCCCTTCGCTGACCGCCCTGGGCCACACCTGTGTTCTCCTGTACCTCGCGCATCTTCCCTCTAGTCATCTGGACACACTACTCCTTGTTTAGCAGCCGGCTCAGGTGTCCTTCATGGACCTCACCTGGCAGAGCCGGTGGTTCCTTCCCCCACCTACGGTGGACCCAGCGGGCTGTCTTGTGTCTGTGCCCCTCCTTGCGGGTACTGCTCTGAGATTCTGGACTCAGATGACGGGCATCTTTGTGTACCCGGCTCTGTGCCTGGCACTGCGTTCGCACGAAGGAGCTGGTGGCCTGGTGACGCTCACTCTGTCCTCCTTTCTTTCCAGGGAAGCAGTTTAAGTGCACGGTGTGTGACTACACGGCAGCCCAGAAGCCACAGCTGCTGCGGCACATGGAGCAGCATGCCTCGTTCAAGGTGAGGACGCTCGGAGGTGCTCGGAGGCGCAGGGACGTGCGCGCTCACATGCGTGGCTTTAGGAAGGCCAGTGGGGACAGCGTCCTCTCAGTATTTTTGGTATGCCCCTCACTTTCAAGCCCCTGTAGCTCATAGAATAAAGGAGCTGTGCCTTGGACTCCTTTCAGAAGGGTGGCATTTCTCTGTCCTTTGCAAACCAAGACCAGGAACAGTGAGTAAGAGTGTGCACGCCAGGGAAGAGGCACGCTCTTGCCGTCAAAAACTGGAGAGATTTAGAGGGAAGAATGGGAGCGTTAAGGTCAAGTATGTGCGCTTTCCTCAAGTAAATGCCCTGAGCCCACAGGTGTGAAGGGACCCCCCTGGTGGGCTGTTGTAAGAGCTGCAGACGGTGCTCAGGGAGCGCCCACCGCAGTGCCCAGTACACGGCAGGGGCTCGGGAGATGGTGGCTTCCCTGTACTTTAATGTCGATGGTAGTATTCATGTGACCAGTGCTTATGGCTCTCTTGACAACTCCCCTCCAGTGAGTTTGTCCCATGAAAAATATAGCCAGGCACGTGGCCACTTGACCCTTAAAAAGAATGCTGCTGCCGCTATTGGCATAGGCGTGTGGGCATGGAGAACGTAAGCTGCTGTGGGCATATATGCGTGTGGGCACGGAGAACGTGAGCTGCTGTGGGCATATATGCGTGTGGGCATGGAGAACGTGAGCTGCTGTGGGCATGCGTGTGGGCATGGAGAACGTGAGCTGCTGTGGGCATATATGCATGTGGGCATGGAGAACGTGAGCTGCTGTGGGCATGCGTGTGGGCATGGAGAACGTGAGCTGCTGTGGGCATGGAGAACGTGAGCTGCTGTGGGCATATATGCATGTGGGCATGGAGAACGTGAGCTGCTGTGGGCATGCGTGTGGGCATGGAGAACGTGAGCTGCTGTGGGCATATATGCGTGTGGGCATGGAGAACGTGAGCTGCTGTGGGCATGCGTGTGGGCATGGAGAACGTGAGCTGCTGTGGGCATATATGCGTGTGGGCATGGAGAACGTGAGCTGCTGTGGGCATATATGCGTGTGGGCATGGAGAACGTGAGCTGCTGTGGGCATATATGCGTGTGGGCATGGAGAACGTGAGCTGCTGTGGGCATATATGCGTGTGGGCATAGAGAACGTGAGCTGCTGTGGGCATGCGTGTGGGCATGGAGAACGTGAGCTGCTGTGGGCATGCGTGTGGGCATGGAGAACGTGAGCTGCTGTGGGCATATATGCGTGTGGGCACGGAGAACGTGAGCTGCTTGTGGGCATATATGCGTGTGGGCATGGAGAACGTGAGGCTGCTGTGGGCATGCGTGTGGGCATGGAGAACGTGAGCTGCTGTGGGCATGCGTGTGGGCATGGAGAACGTGAGCTGCTGTGGGCATATATGCGTGTGGGCATGGAGAACGTGAGCTGCTGTGGGCATGCGTGTGGGCATGGAGAACGTGAGCTGCTGTGGGCATATATGCATGTGGGCATGGAGAACGTGAGCTGCTGTGGGCATATATGTGTGTGGGCATGGAGAACGTGAGCTGCTGTGGGCATGCGTGTGGGCATGGAGAACGTGAGCTGCTGTGGGCATGCGTGTGGGCATGGAGAACGTGAGCTGCTGTGGGCAATATGTGTGTGGGCATGGAGAACGTGAGCTGCTGTGGGCTATGCTTGTGGGCATGGAAGAACGTGAGGCTGCTGTGGGCATGGAGAACGTGAGCTGCTGTTGGGCTATATGCATGTGGGCTGGTAAACGTGATCTGCTGTGGGCTGGTGTGGGGCATGGAGAACGTGAGCTGCTGTGTCATTGCTGTGTGCATGGAGAAACGTGAGCTGCTGGGGCATTGGCGTGTGGCATGGAGAACGTGAAGCTGCTGTGGGCAATGGAGGAACGTGAGCTGTTGGGCATATGTGTGGCATGGAGAACTGAGCCTTGGCATGCGTGTGGGCATGGGAGAACGTGAGCTCTGTGGGCATAGATTCATGTGGGCGATGGAGAACGTGAAGCTGCTGTGGGCATGCGTGTGGGCATGGGAGACGTGAGCTGCTGTGGGCATATAATGCATGTGGGCAATGGAGAACGTGAGCTGCTGGTGGCATATATGCGTGTGGGCATGGAGAACGTGAGCTGCTGTGGGCATATATGCATGTGGGCATGGAGAACGTGAGCTGCTGTGGGCATATATGCGTGTGGGCATGGAGAACGTGAGCTGCTGTGGGCATGCGTGTGGGCATGGAGAACGTGAGCTGCCACGGGCATGCGTGTGGGCATGGAGAACGTGAGCTGCTGTGGGCATGCGTGTGGGCATGGAGAACGTGAGCTGCTGTGGGCATGCGTGTGGGCATGGAGAACGTGAGCTGCTGTGGGCATGCGTGTGGGCATGGAGAACGCAGCATTCTGAAGTGTTGTTGGAGCTGTGTCCACCACTGGCCCCCAGAGAGTGGTAGAAGGTGGAAAGGACCACTGGTCACACTCAGGTTGCCTTTTTGAGCATCTGCTGTGTGCCGCACTGTGCTGGGAACTTCACACCCCTCAACTCAGGTGTCCCCAGAGTAGATCTGGTCTCCCCAGCTGTACAGCTGAAGAACCTGAACCTCAGAGAAGTCAGCTGACCACCTGTCAGTCTTTTCTGCCATGCTGACGTCCACAGAGTCCAGGCTCCGTTGTAATGTTGGCCAACCTGTGCTGTGCTTGCTTCTGAGGATGAGGACCCTCCCCATCCGCAAGCTCATCTGATGCCCAGATCAGCCTTGTGAGAGACGAGTCCTCCTGCTCTCTCCTCCTGTAGTTAAGAAACCGTGTGGCTCAGAGGGGCTACGGCTCATGTGTCCCAAACGTCCAGGAAGTGAAGGAGTGGGAACTGAGTCCTCAGCCTGAACGGTTCCTGCTACATCGTCTCCGTTGCTCGTGGTGGGCAGAAAGGGGGCGCCGGGGAACTGAACTGGGGGTGTGGCACATGCTGCTTCCATAGTTGCTTTAGGAAGACCCGCCTGGCACCTGGTGGGAGCCAGTGTGTGAACTGGGGAGCTTCTTCCGTCTGTGTGTTTTGTACGTAATCAGAAGAGCTGTGTTTTGCATTTCACAACTGACGTGATTTCCGGGCGAGGACTCTGGTAGAGAACCGCTTCAGAGATGAGAAACGGGGTCCGTTGGGGTGGTTACTGCCCTCGCTCCCCCGGGACTGCAGCGAGACTCTTACTCACCTGGTGTCCAGCATGGCCCATGTCCCTTCCTAACCGAGGCAGCTGAGCCGTCCGTCTGCCCTGAAATCCTCCTCATTCCCCTCCTCGGTTGGTGGAGTCTTCGGTGTACGTGCCAAAGAATTGGAGTTTGGGGGGTGTTTGATTTAAGGTCTCACTGTCACATGTAGTTCTCAGTGCCCTCTTGCCATCAACAGTTCGTCCACTGTGGGGCCTCGGGAGCTGACAAGCTCAACCGGACCTCGGGTCACGGCCGGTTTCCCACGGGCTCCCCGCTGGGAATGAGACTCTGGCCTGACTGAGGACCTCTGAGTCAAGCCTGGCTTCCCTCGGGCACCGGGTAGCTGCAGTAGTGTCTCAGATGGCGGGGACGGCCAAGCAAAAGGAACGGGTTCCTGCCACCCTCATCCACAGTGGTGACACCTTCCCTTTTCCCTGGCCCGCCCCATCACCGCTGTGACACAGCACCCCAGCCTAACGCAGAACACAGCGGAAACTTACTGTCTTCTGGTCTTCTGGTCAGGGTGGAGCTGGGCGGATCTTCCTGGGGCTCAAGGAGAAGACCCACTTCCTGCCTTTGCCGGCTCCCAGAAGCCACCTGCATCCCTTGGCTGGCGGCCTCTTCCTCCGGCTTCAGAGCCAGCGACCCAGCACCCTCTCCCACCTCCCCCACCCCACCCCTCCGTCGTCCCCCACCCCTCCCCCTCCCCCACCCCTCCATCCTCCCCCACCCCTCCCACCTTCCCCACCCCTCCCCCTCCCCCACCCCTCCATCCTCCCCCACCCTCCCACCTCCCCCACCCCTCCATCCTCCCCACCCCTCCCACCTTCTCCACCCCTCCATCCTCCCCACCCCTCCCACCTTCCCCACCCCTCCCCTCCCCCACTCATCCATCCTCCCCACCCCTCCCACCTTCCCCACCCCTCCCCCTCCCCCACCCCTCCCACCTCCCCCACCCCTCCATCCTCCCCCACCCTCCCACCTTCCCCACCCCTCCCCCACCCCTCCCACCTTCCCCACCCCTCCCCCTCCCCCACCCCTCCCACCACCCACCCCTCCACCACCCACCCCTCCCACCTCCCCCACCCCTCCATCCTCCCCCACCCCCCACCTTCCCCACCCCTCCATCCTCCCCCACCCCCCACCTTCCCCACCCCTCCCCCTCCCCCACCCTTCCCCCACCCATCTCCCCCACCCCTCCATCCTCCCCCACCCCTCCCCCACCCCTCCTGCCTCCTCCACCTCTCCCTCCTCCTCCTGCTGGTAAGGACCCTGGACTGAGTGGCTCACTGATCTTGGGCTCACATGACCAGCAACCCGAGTTCAACCTGTGGTCTCAATTCCTTTCGCCACGTAAGGCTCCAGGTGTCAGGGCGTAGACATTGTGCGGGTGCCGGGGGCATTATGCTGCCTACTGCATCCCCCTGCTCCTTTTTCACATCTACTCAGTGGTGGAAAATTATCATCGAAATCAGAAAAGACAGAGTCCATATGGTCCTCCTCTCCTTTTCCATACCGATGCCAACGTGATCAAGAAACCCGCCCTCCCACTGCACCGCACCCTGGAGGGGCCTCCTGGTCTGCGGGCCGAGCTGCCGGCTGGCAAGATGAAACCCGTTTGCGTGTCTAGGCCTAGACGTGTAATTACCAGTGTGCAGTTTGTCCAGAAACACTGTAATAAGGGCAGACTCTTACACTGCCTCTTACAGTGACATGTTTTATTTATACATTTTCAAAACGAAGTCAATATGCGTTCACGGAATAAGACTTGGAAAATG